TCCCCACAGCGCACCCCCCCACGCGTGACAAATACGGAAGTCGCAGCTTCCCATCTCCAAAATGAGCGTACGCATGGGTCAGAGCTGGCGTGAGGCACCACACATTTTCACGTCAAGTTTGGATTTTATAAATCACAACCTTGGCGTAAAAAGTGGCGTACGCAAGTTTCTGGGCTCAAATTGTGCGTACGCCAGTTTTATAAATCCGACCCCTGGAAATGCAACATCAATGCAGCAAAAATTTATACAGCTTTTACGCTCTCATCTACATGTCTTTTTAAGAAAAGGCCTTCCAAGACAATCTTAAAAACTACAAACGGCATCCGTTATTATAACAGCAGAACTTAATAGTAGAAGAGTCTAGATCACGTGTCAAACTCCGGTCTTCAAGGGCCGATATCCAGCATGTTTTCTTGTTTCCCTGCTCAAACTCACCTGACTTGTATGAATAGATGATTAACAGGCTTCTACAGAACAGAATTTGAAGAGGCAATTGAATCACTGAATTGGGTGTGTTAGAGCAGAAAACCAAAGAAAACATGCAGGAGAGCAGCCCTCAATGTGTTGTTTGACACCCCTGGTCTAGGTGCAGAACTGCCCTGCCTGCATTCCAGACCTCTCACCAAAAGAAAACATTTGGTGCATCATGAAATGATAAATCCAAGAAAGAACACCCAGGACTATTTAAAACCCAGAATCCTACATGAGACAACAAAGGGACAACATTCTCCAAAAGCTCCAACATCTGATCTCCTCTGTTCCTACAGGTTTACAGACTCATGTTAAAAGGACTGTTTCCACAGTCATTTTTTAATATGTGTTGCTGCCATAAAAATTAAAAAATTACTGTAATCTTTTTAAGCTTTATCATTTGTTTTCTATGTTTCATTGTGAATAAAAAATGGGATTTGTGAGATTTGCAAATCAGTACTAAAACTGGTGCATTTCTATTTGTAAGCAGACAGCACAATAATTAGTAACATGCACCTGTTTTTTTCTTCTACATCCCTCATTGTGTTTCTGTGAAGGCCCTGATGACGACTGTTCTAGTCCTCAGCTGTAGCACAGTCCATCCTCTCAATGTCTCTTAACAGCGCTGAACCAGCAATCATCATTCATCTACTTCGAATGAGCAAAAAATGTCTGAACACACACACACACACACACACACACACACACACACACACACACACACACACA